GCCTTGAACTGGCTACTGGGAAAAAAAAACTGCTCAGGTTTGTTATCTAGAAATGATATTGCAGAAAAGTAGCAGAAATTTCCCTTAAAATCAACAGTGGAAGGGTGTTTGTGCCCAAAAGCTTGCAAAGAACAATTTTTCCAACTATTTAGTTGGTCTAATAAAAGATATCACATCTACCCAAAGAACTTCTGCAGCAAGGAGCACTTTATTCTGGAGGTAAATGCTGTAAAGTGTGGAGTGCCCATGGAAGGATAATGGTGCTAATTGTTAAACTCCAGGGGGCTGTTAATTTATTACAATATATTTGCATATGCATGTATTCTTCTGTCTTCTATGCTCTACTCAGCAAGCAGAAAACACAAGAGTGATAATAGATCAGCTACTGGCAGCAGAAGGCTTGTGTTCAGGTTCTGAATTAGAATTCAGGAGATTGGGCTTTAGTTTCCAGCTCTGCCATAGATTTCTTACATGGATTTGAACAAATTGCTTAATCTCTCTGTGCCTCAAATCTCCATCTGGGAAATGGGGTTATAATTCTCCCCCCATCTCCCCCAACTACTTCTGTCTTGTCTATACAGACTGTAAACTCTTGCAAGTAGACTCTCTCCTTTCACACAGATGTACGGTACATACCACAATGGAGCCGTGATCACCCTTGGGGTTTCTAGGCACTGCTAAAATGGAAAAATAGGGTCAGAAGGGTCATCAAATCCAATCCCATTGTTATTCCTAGAGCAGTGGGGGCCAACCTTTTTGACAGATACACCAAAAGTTACCCCTGTATACTCCGCAAGTGCTACTCTGCTCCTTTTCCCCAGCCTGATCTGTTGCTCTGCTCTCTGCTACCAGCCCTTTGCTCTCTGCCTGCTCTGCTTTGCTCCCAGCCCTGTGCTCCCTGCCCAATCCACTGCTTTGCTTTCTGCTCCCTCCTCTGTTTGTGCTGCTTGTTCCTCCCTGATCTCCCACATGCCACCCACAGAGGCTGCCCATGCCACTTACAGTACCTGTGCCACAGGTTGGCCATCCCTTTCCTAAAGTATCCTAGACTAAGAACATAAGACTTGCCATTGAATGGGGCAGACCATCGGTTCATCTTGCCCAGTTTCCTGTGTCACACAGTTTGGTGTCTACTTCTGATACCTTAGTTATTAGCCTATGACCTCACTCTCGTTCCTGTTTTCTTTTTTGTTGTCCCACACATTTAGTTGATACATCTTCACTGGCCTGTCTTAAGGGAGGCTTACAGTTCCCTGTGATGGACCCAGTCCCATGACCAAATGGCATATCAAATAGGCCTGTGTCCCACAGTGGCAGAGTGGATGAGTGAACTGGGTATGACCCTGTTTTCCTCCATTGTTCCTCTCCCACTTGCAGCCTCCAGCATTTAAAGTCCAGGAAGCTCTGATTCAGAGGCTATGGCCCTAACTCCCATGCTCAGTATCTACTGATGCTCCTTTCCTCCAAGAACATGTGCCATCCCTTTTTGAATCTGGCTAAGCCTCCAGCTTCCACCACACCTGGTGGCAAGGAGTTCCACTGATGCCTATTGAGAGCCTGCAATGAAGGAGATCCCACACCTCCCTTAGGTCAGTGTTTCTCAACCCGGGGTTTGTGACCCAAAAGTAGGCTGCAAGAATATACGAAAGAGTTGTGAACAAACTTTAAAAATGGATTCTCCCTTAAAGCAGAAAAATGTGGGAAACTGTGGCTTTTCCCTTGCAGGCTGGCAGAGATCCAGACTGCTAGCCCCCCCCCGGACCCAAACACCCAGTCCCTGCCCCAAACACTGAGGAGTGGGGGGCAGTGGGTCAGGAATGAGGGGCACTGGACAGGTCATTGCTGTTTACAAATGAGTCCTGGTACAAAAAAGGTTGAAGGCCACTGCCCTAGGGTAAGTCCTACCAGTCCTAGGTGCCAGCCTTCACACCAGCCCACACAGGCCCTGTCGCTGCAGCAGCTGTTGCTTTCCACAGCAGTGGCTCCTCTCCAGGAAGGTGCACCTGGCTCTGTTATTTTGGAGCATTTTTCTTTC